TAATTCGCTGCATGTCTAAATATATAATTTATGGCCATAAATCCAATAAAGAATTAGGAAGTAGAAAACATATATAATCCAACAATGAAAAAAAAATGTTAATCCATCAAGTATATAATCCAGGAGCTCAATTTAAATCGTGCAAACCGCCATATTATATATTATCTACTATATATACTATACTTATAATACTAACTATATATGTTATAACCAAGCTTCGTGCTTGGTTGCTCCTTTCTCTTTGCTTACTGACACCAAAGAAAAATACTTTTTCAATCAGGATATATATATATATATATATAATATATATATATATATATAATATATAATATATATATTCACTAGTGATTTATATATATTCCACTAGTTGATTTTATTTTTATCAAATAAAGCGTAACAAATGTTAGGGAACTGAAAAATTATGAAGAAAACTCAAATAACAAAACAAAAATAAAAATACTAGGAAAATAATACTTGCAACTGCATTGTTGTTGGAGACTTGAAATTTAAAACAAGATAACTGAGATGAAAGGGAGATAGGTGTGAGATATTAGTTATGTAAAAGAAGCGCAAAGCCGAAGACTGTATTTAATTGAGATTGTGGGAGAGAATTTTAGTAGACTGAACAGTTTATGTGAAGACATGGAATCTAAAAAAAGAGAATATATAAAATAAGTTTAGCTTAAAACGTTATATTTTGTTTTTCGGTTTAATCGGACTATTCAGGTTTTTTACTATGCAACCAAACCAATAACCGAATACCAAAATATATGTTTACATTTTACCGAACCTAACTAAATAATTTGAAAATCGAATCAAATAGACCGAATTGGTTCGGTCCGGTTCAAAAATTTAGTTAAAACCATATAGTGCCCACCCCTATATATTATCATGATTCAATTTCTGTGAAGTTATTTTATTTTGACGAAGCTTATAATCATTACTAAAATGTGAAAGTGTATGATTATAATTGAATCTTACAAAGTTTAAGGAGTTACAAGGAAAATCGATTGAAGTTCAATGTCAAATTTATGTATTAGCCAAAGAAATATATTTTATATAAAAAAAATTATGGCATCCTAATTTTGCACTCCTAAAGTTAGGAATTTTAATAACATTATACACTTCACCACACTAGCAATAATAATTTATTTATATTTAATTTTATATGTAAAATATTGATTTAATATACGGTTATCGTACCTTTTCGAACAATAACTTTTAATTTTTTAATTATTCATTAATTGCTTAATCAATTAAATTTTATAAATTTAAGTGTTTGATAAATCAAAATAAAAATTAAAAGTTTCTTTTTATAAAGTACAGGATATACTTATAGATTTAGCCATTCATTATTGACTAGAAAGCTCTAAATATTCTAATTTAACTTGTTAGTGTTCTAATGTGAGAAGTATCTTCACTTTCTAATAAATCCTTTAATCCAAAAAAAAAAAAAAAAAAAAAAAAAAAAAAAAAAAAAAAAAAACAAAAAAAAAAAAAAAAAAAAAATCCTTTAATCAAAATGTATAATCATTTTTAAGGTGAAATGCATAAATTGACTGACATATAAATTTTAAAGGGAAAATATGATACATCTAACTTTTCATATATCTAATATATTTAAGTTTATTTTTTAGATTATATGAGATAAATTGAATTCCTTGAACCATTTACTTTTATGCAACAAATGAATTAAGAGAAGGTCAATGCACTTTATAAGTACTGTTAGGGATAATGATTTTTGATGTGGGATTGGGGCATATTCTAATCCAAACCGAAATTTCAAATCAAAAATATTAATTTAGAATGGAATTTTAGAATACAGATTTTAAAATGGAATGTAACTTTAAAATATTGATATATAGAATATATAATGGAAACAAAAAATAAAATTTTATATTCCAATCAATATATCGAATTTTTATTTTATTATTCTTTAGTTTGTAATTATATGTTTCAAAATAAATTAAATTAAAGATTAGGATAAAACATATTTAATTTTTCATAATGTTTAAGAAAACTTCTGTTGGACCGAGTTAATATATTGAAGTTTAATGTTAATAGATAATTTTATGAGATGAACTATTCAATAAATTAAACTAAAAATTAAGAATGTCTAAGTATATATAAATTAAATTAAATTATTAATTTACATATTCAATATTTTTAATGATGAAAGCAAAATTGAAGTGCATGTGAACTACATAATATATAGATGACCTATTATTTTTATAATGTTTAACAAATATATGAAAAAATAATGATAGTAGCTAATAACTTATAATTGGTTATGCCAATTAATATTCCATTAGACTTGTAATTGAACCTTCTCAAACTAAATTTTAACATTAATTAAAGCATTCTAAATCAAAAGTTCAATTTTTAATCTGAAAAAGAAGCACGTTAATCAATTAATTAGAGTAAAATTCAATATCCATCTCAACTTGCAATTATCTAATAAAAACTATTGTCAAATTCTCATCCTCTTTCTTCAATTTCAAGGTTTAAAAAAAAAAAAGATTATTGTGACCTTTGTTATATTTTATGAATCACAAAAAGAAAATATCATTTCCTTTTTAATTCTAGACTTGTTTTTTCAATGCAGTCTTTTTTTTTTTTTTTTTTCAATGCAGTCTTTTTTTTTTTTTTGGTAAACGTCAGAGAGCATCTATATAGTTGGATAACTGATTCATTAACTCAACACAAACTAGTTGTGATTTTATAAGCAATGCAGTCTTTTTTTTTTTTTTGGTAAGTCAGAGAGCATTTATATAGTTGATAACTGATTCATACTCAACACAACTAGCTTGTAGATTTTTGATAAGCCTTTTAATCCGTTTACAGCTGGAGAAGTCCCAAAAGTCCGTTAATGCTCATTTTACATTTTAATAGTACCCTATTAAAAGCTTACAAAACACCAACATTCATCAGTTAATTATTATCAGCAGCTAGCAATCACTATCAGCTGTTCGCTAATATAAACAGTTAAACCAAATGGGTCCTTAGTACTATTAAAGTGAGACACATGCATTAATTTAAATATCAATCAAAATTTTTTGAGAAGAGGACACCAAGGCATAGTCTAGTGGTAAGTGCATATACAATTCAGTAATAGATTTGAATTTGAATTCTTCCTTCCCCAATACTCAAAAAAAAGGATTTTTTTTTTTTTGAGGGGAATTATAATTTTCATTTGACCATAGTGAATCTATAAATTTTTATCATCCAAATGCATACGGTAATTTTTTTTATTTTTTAATGGATGGATTCATATTTAGTTCTTGAACTGTAGCCTCATCAATAAGTTAGTGGAAAAAAAAAGATTACAATAACCCTATATATATTAGTCATTAAATTATTTAAATTCTAATGTAATCACCATATTTATATTTATTTAGTTTTGGATACAGGCTCAAATTGACTACTAATTATTTTTTAATTTTTCCACTCAACGTTTTCTAAAATATTTATTTATAAAATCAAAATATTTTATATTAGAAAATTACTTTTACACTATTAAAAATTACTTAACCTTTTACTTTAATTCATTTGAAATACACAAATAATTTTTTAAAAATACTTTTGTTATTGATAAAACAATTTGTTTTCCAAATAAAAATTGAGTTTAACTGGACCAAAATTTTAAAAAATTTATTTTAGTTATGTGCTAAAAGTTAATTTTAACTCTAAATAGACAAACTAAATAAAGTAAATATTTTCGCTTGTCTCATATTGTTTACTTATTAATTCTTTTTTGAATGTTCCATAATATTTACAAGGTTTCTAAATTTAGATATGTAAACAATTATCTTTTTTATAATAATATTAATGATTATTCATTAAATGAAAGACTTTTATTATTATCCTAATGAGTTAAGAATAAAAAAAGGCAAAATAACTTTTATTAACTAAATTCTTAATATATATTTTATCAAAATATGTAAATAAAATGGGACGAAAAGAGCAATCAATTTAGGATTTTTCCTTTACTTTTAAATTAATGATTTTGGCACTTTTACATTAAAAATCTCTGTTGACTTTTAGAAACTTATGACTAAAATATATTTTAGACTGAGGCACGGGATTCATAATAAAAGCAAACATTTAAGTGCATGGTTTTTCCAAATATAAAAGACTAAGGCTCGTTTGTTTCTGTAAAATAATTTATAAAAAAATTTTTTTCATAATTTTTTATTATTTGGGACTTTTAGAAAAATAAGTCAACGAAAAATATTTTATTGGTTAAAGGAAAATTACGTTATTTTTTAAGAAAAATAACTTTCCATTCTCGAAAAAGTATAACATTTTCCAGGACATTGATAAACCTTATAAATTTATATTTTTTTAATTTATTAATTACTATAGTCACTACCATCAGTCGCCATTTACCACCAACCACCACCATCAGCTACCACCACTTCTGACCACTGGTGTCTTTCATAATTTATATTTTTTTTATATTCTTCTCATATTTAACAATGAAATTTCTATTAATATTAATATTTTTTATGGTCTTATGAGATAAAAACTTTAATATTTTTAACTAATTCTAAATATTACAACCAAGCAGCGAAAAATAAGTCATTTGGAAAATATTTTTCAAGGAAAATGTTTTCCATGGAAAATATTTTTCAGCAGGTTATTTTCTTGCAAGTTATTTTACGAAAATAAACGGAGCATAAATTGTAACTATTCTTCATTTTTTTTATCACATAACAAAATATCTTATCTAACTCCTTCCATAATATTGATATGTCTAGACTCAATCCATATAGGAAATCAATTAAAAATAATTTTTTTATTGAAATGATAATACTTTTAACTATTTCACCAGTAAAAAAAAAATGTAATAATTTTAAAAATTCTCTATGTTAATTGGTTTTAAGTGGAACCATAAATTGAGTTTAAGCAAGTTTAATCCTCCTTTCATTATGTGAACAATATTGACTAGATCATCAATTTTACTAATGTAAGAAAAAGATATATAACATAAACCTAACTTAGGCAAATATACACACATTTGTGTGTATATATAGTCATCAGTGCAGAAAACGACTTGTTACTTCTGAGCATTAGAAATATGCAGAAAGGGACAGCAAAATGAAACTACTAGCTCTTAGTAAAGAAACATTGTTTTCCTAGATAAAAGAAGAGCCAGAAGGACAAATGACAAGAGAGTGCATCTGTGGTGTTATTAGGCTTCTCAGAAATAAGAAGACCACAAGCAATTCCTAAAACAGTGAGAGAGCATAATATACTAGATGGGAAATGTCCATAAGCTCATCATGGATTATTGTATTATTCAATGAATTATTTGGTAATTTGTCTTGTCATGTCAATGGACACAAGGGTTTGCCTCTATTTGTTCATTTGCCATCTGCCTTTTCCCCTTCTCCTTCAAAGATACCACTTGATCGATACACAACCTGATCGAAACAACTCAAAACATTACCTAACACGACCATAGTTCTACGCAAACCATCAGAAACCTCCAGAGAAACAAGGAAAATCTAAAAGAAAGATATCTACTGCATAATTCATCAATAAAAATCAAAAATAAGAGGGGAAGGATGTCATTGACGTTCTCATTCTTCATTGAAAGTCAAGCAAGCAAACAAGAATATCATCAAATTTTCAAAAGCACGATCTAAAGCAGCATATATATAGCTACAATTCTCAGTGGATGACAGATTAAGTGTAACCACCATTGCCAAAAGGGATGTTTTAACGGCAAAAACCACCAAAAATCCCTGATGGGATGCCTTGACACATTACTAGGCATCCAATCAAGAATGACAACGGTAGTTGGAGGGAGATTTATTCAATTTTCTAGACTGCATGAAGAAAGCAAGTGGAATGTATAGGAAAAGGGAAAAGAAAAATGTGCTGTACACCAATATAAGTAAGATTTTAAACCTTAATTAATTGCGTATTCCACATGCAAATCATCTAATTAATAATCCGAGTGGAAATAGATATTGGGATTAGTCAAATACACCATAATTGAAACACTAAATTTCACTTTTTCTCATGATAGCGATGCAAAACTAAAATAAATGATATTTCCAGAATAGTCTCATGTGAGCAGGACACCAGTAACAGACCGGCAATGGCAGCCAACCTTACCCCATAAAAATCCCTTTTACCTGGCCACTCATCCACCCACATATGGACCAGGTGTAGGTAAGTTTTAAGGAGGAAACAGACAAACCTATGAACTCCTGGTGTCAAGCTCGGTTAATATACAGGATAACTACCACTACAAAAAAAAGTGATGACGTACAGGATAACTACACGAAATGCAAGACCAAAAACAGAACACATAAATTAACAGAGGGTCAATTCCTGTATATTTCTGTAACGATCCCGAGATTTTTTTTTTTTTTTTTTTTTTTTTTTTTTTTTTTTTTTTTTTTTTTTTTGCCATTCCACTATTTATATTAGAAAAATAAAAACATTACCCCTATAGTTTTTATAAAACAAAAATTTTATTTTTACCCGCTTATTTTTTTTAAAATAAACTTTTTTTTTTTTTTTTTTTTTTTGCCATTCCATATTATATAGAAAAAATTATAAACATACCCCTATATTTTATAAAACAAAAATTATTTTACCCTTATTTTTTTAAAATAAACTGTTATGCCCTCATATTTTGAATCTGTTACACTAGATTGTCCTTTCGTTGGGTTTTTGCTATTTTAAACGTTAAATGCATATAAAATGACACTTTTGACGCTGTCTTCTCTTCTCCTCCTCAAGCAAACCCAGAAATCAATATACACATATGCAGAAGCAAATAAAAACGAAATTAAATCAGATATTGAGAAATAAAAATTAAATTCCCCAAAAAATGAAATCCAAGTTGTGGACTTTACCTATAATCCTAATTTTCATATATCTCAAAAATAACAAAAACTAGATTCTCCAGAAAAGAAAATCTAAGTTGTGAACTCTACCCATAATCCTAAATTCCACATATCTAAACAATAAAAAAAGAAAAAAAGATAAAGGCACACACATTAAAAAATCAAACTTGAGATTGAATTATCAAAATTCATGCAATCTATAAATAAATAACTTACCAAGAAACAGAGCATCAAATAAAAGTATGAAAAAGCTCAAAGAGAAGAAGGAGATAGAGAAACAGAAGTTTGAACAAAAGAGAGAGAAGAGAGAATCAATTGGAGATAGAGATGGAAATGAAGATATCAAAGGCCAATGAGCAAAGAAGCAAATGATTGAAACTGAAAATCGAGTTATGGACATTGGAGTTAAAAAAGCTCATTGGAATGGTAGGATTCATGAATTGAGTTATAATCGTAGTTATGAACATTTTGGCTACTAGGTACGGATTCAGAGGAGATAGAGCTAAAGCTTGTTGCGGTGGTTGTAGTAATTGAAGTGGTAATGTTAAACCAGATTGAGTTCTTGAAAATTAATATGGGTTTTGCAGAAAAGTTACATTTCCGCATAATCAAATAATCAAAAAGAGGAAGATGAAGAGGATATTTTGGTGAATATTTTTTTTTCTCCCTCTTTAGATTATTAAGTTTTTCTTTGACTTATACCATAAAATCTTTAAAATTGGATGGAAGAGTAATACAGTGTAACAGATGGCCAAATGCATATTTTGGACCCTATACTTTTTTAAAAAAATCTTATGATTCCTTATTTATGCGGGAGTTCTATAAGATACTTCTATTTATTTTTTCTGTATTTAATAAGTACCTATCCTGAACAAATAAAGTACATGCAACTTAAATTTTATTACCTGGCAAAAATATAATGACACGTCAGAAAGAGATAAGCACGTCATACGCCATATCAGATTAGATCCAAATTATGCATTTAGCAAAAAATATTCTTATGGGCATTGTCTCTCCCTCTTTCTCTCTCCATCAATTACTACCCAAAAAGTGAAGAAATTGTTACTTTCCTACACCACTACCGTCGCTGCTATGTCCTCCTCCCTCCTCTTCTGTCTTCCTCTACTACTTCAAAAACCATCAACTTGAGAGAAAGAAAAAACAAACCTTCTTTTGCTTTCTGAAAGTTAACTACCTTTAGAGCACAAAATCAAAGAAGAGCAGAATTTGATCTACTAGGGAAAAAAAAAAAAAAAGCTAAACCAGAAAATCAAAAAAATAAGAAAATGAGTTATTGTTACTCAAGATTAGAAAGAGAAGAAATGGTTTCAAGGTGCAAAGCAAGAAAGAGATGCACCTGTTTTAATATCACCTTCACTTTTACCTCTCACACCTCCACCTCCTCCCCAACCAATGAGTCCTAGCTCCGACACATGGACATCGATATCAGCTCCTCCTCTTCTGCCATCGCTGCCACCTCCACCGCCTCAATCATCAAGCTAGGATTTCTGGGATCCTTTTGTTCCACCACCTCCTACAGCATCACAGTCGGTTAATGAGGAGGAATGGAAAGAGGTGACAACAAAGCAATTAAACAAGCTTTCACTCTCTTCACATTTGCGTGGACATTCACGCACCACTTCCAGTGTGGCGAGTTACCTATCAAATACGAAAAAAAAAAATAGAGGTATTAGGACCTGCAAAGTATAAAGGGCCATAAGATTTTTTTGAAAAATATAAAATCTAACAAATTTAAAATATAAAGATATAACAGTTTATTTTAAAAAAAATAAGCGGAAAGAAGTTTTTTTTTTTTTTATAAAATATAGGGATATGGTTATAATTTTCCCTATTATATACAATAAATTTTCTACACTCTATACTAAGGGAGAAATACAAATTAAAATTAAATGCATATTATTAATAATTGAATATGGGACCTCACCCTTACCGCTGGGCTAGGCTAGGGATCATTTGCATCACTCCCGAGATTTACGATAATTAACACATTGATATTTCGTAGTGTTTTTAATCCATAAAATTTCTTAATCGACCCAACACTTTAATCATCTTATAAAATTATCAATTTTTCACCTTAGATGCTTAAATTGTAAAATATAATATATTGGTCGATCAATTATTATAGTATAAAACACTTTAATTTCTCAAAATCTTATACTTTTCACCTTAGTTTGTAACTAAGTTTTTGTAACTTGAATTTTCTTTGGATCCAAAAAATAACTTGATTTTCTTTGGATTTTCTACCGTTTGAAGTGTTCAAGAAAATCAACCAATTTAATAAAATATTTCCGGTTATCATCAATAACCACCACTAATTAAATACTAAAATTGCATAATTTATTATTTTTATACAATTCTCATATTTAACAATAAAATTTTAAAATATGAAAAATTTTAATTCTAAATATTTTTATAATTTTGTAAATTAAAAATTAAATACTAAAATTGCATTAATTTATTATTTTTATACCAATTCTCAATATTTACAATAAAATTTAAAAAATATGAAAAAATTTTTAATTCTAAATATTTTATAAATTTTGTAAATTAAAATTTTAATATTCTTCAATATTACGAAATATTTAACAATAAAATTTTAAAATATGAAAAATTTTAATTCTAAATATTTTTATAATTTTGTAAATTAAAATTTTAATATTTCAATATTACAATCAAATTACATCAAATAAATTGTTCAGAGGACATATACCCAAAAGTATGTTCTTTTTCATAAACAAGTTGGAGGCTAAAAGTGTTTAATCATGGAAAATTTGAGGGTTGTTATTAAAAGTTAACCGCCAGTCTAATCAAGACATTGAACATCCAGAGCTGCACAAAACCGACTGAGCTGGATGAACAAGCTAATGATGTCCGTTGAAACTTGAGTGTAAAAAATTGATTTGCATGGAGACTAAGAACAGTCAATGTAATAATTATGAGGTTGTCAAATTTTCTGAAGTCAGTCCACCGAAAAGAAAAATATGTTGATCATATAATCACAACACCACGTAAGAGCGAAGGGTAGTGTTGCTCATCAGAAATACTTCTTATTTCACTCTTCACAGAGGCCATTAAGCCAAAAGGTAACGAATCTTTAGATTGCAATCCTATTTATAAAGAAAGTCTACCTTCTGTTATCTCATCAGAATTTAAATCTGGAACAGAGATTCCATAACATCAAAATTTAAATAGGACAAATAAAAAGTTTTAGTATCCAGGGTAGCATAAATGAAGTTCTTTTCTAAGTTCATCTTCAATGATATTTTTGTTCTCGTTTTTTTGTTCAAAGTCACCACTTGCTTTCGCAAATGTATCAGTAGACTGAAATAAATTGAAAAATGAACATAAAATAAAAATAGGGCAAAAGGAAGTATATATGTTTGATTTTCAATGTGATCAGCTTGAATTAACTTTAACTTTACTATTTAACATAAGTCATGAAAGAAAACGAAAAGTATTATTTTATTAAGTCACAGGAAGTAAATTTCAACTCAGCTTATCCTTGTTTTAACTAGACCGTAAATTCATAGAGCTTATCATTATGCAACAATGTGGAAAAAAAATCTTTAAGGCTGCACATAAAATACATCAAGGATCAAAAATTGAATACACATTAGCATTTTAGATTTCAGGCAATTATACAAGAAGTTCAATAAAGCTAGTGGTTTAAGGATTCGAGACATACAAACAGCCTCTTAAAAAAGGTAAAAAGGGGAAGGTTGTGCACTGGGCTGCCCTATATACGAGAAGTAAATAAATCTACCAACGTAGATTCAGCAATTTTACATAAAAACAAACAACGGTAACATCCCTTCTTAAAGGAATGATCATAGAAACTGGGAAAATAATTGCTAATGTATGACTTTTTTCAGCTTCTTATAACAGTGGCATAGGTTACAGATTTCTTCAACTTATTCTAGTTCTAATTTTCATTTCGATATGGAAACATGGATCACCAACAGTATCAGAAGGCGTTTCTGTCCTTAGAAATATTCTTGTTTATTTTTTCTTTTAAATATGTCAAATTTTTAGAGAAATGTGAACTGGAAAAGACAAGGTGGTATTTTTCAAGGTATGAATGAACATTAATTCACAAAGTTCCAATGAAAAATTGAGTAGAAAATAATTGATTGTTTAGAGCATCAATTACTACTAATCAACATTGTTGATCACTTGTTAACAAAAGAACATCTTTGTTTAGTTAAATAACAAAATTATTGCCACAGAATAGAATTTAATTATAAAATCCAGGATAGCACTCGGCATAAGGATATTGATCAGTCGAATCCTTAGAATCAAATACTGTACATATATAGAGTGAGACTTCCTCAAGGTTTTTGGCTTAGTTTCCCAAGAGTAACCATTACTAGTGATCAATGAACTATGGTCCAATAATCATACTAAATTCTGTTACAAAGCTCTAACGTTACAATTTGCAAGTTCACATTTCAGTAGCCAAATATCAATAGACCTATATGTGGCAATGCTCCAATACACCCAATTTGGTAGCTAAATGCAAATGCTTTAGCCTTTAATAAGAACTGAAAAATTCGTATCACATTAGTTCATTCTAACGCATTTTTCACCTAGTTATTTTTTATATTTGGTTCAAAAATATTTAAATTTATGCAATCTAACATAATCAAATCCAATTTCATTAATCATAAATGAATACTATAATCAAGTTAGTATCCACATTATCAGATTCTGAAAACATAGAACACAGTAATAAAACTCTAGCTAAAATTTTCGATTCCTATTGGTAAAGATAAAATCCTAAACACTCAAATTGAAGTTTGTGACTGCAAATCAATGAAATTCAATGAAAACATCCAACTCCAATGGCGCAAACAAACACAAACACGAAGACAAGATTGTTAAGCGAACAAGGTTTTCAATTAAGTACATATACCAGTTCATTAATTATTAATTAACACATTCTAATATAATTATTAATGTCGAACACATGGAATTAGAGAGAAAAGAAATACCAAAGGAAGGAAGCAGAGGAGCTAATTGTAATAGAGCTCGAGACCCATGCCGTCGTGAATTTCATAGTCCTGGAGGGTAATATGATCCTTGTATATAGTGTACCACTTCTGGATCCGAATCTTGTCAGGTCGGGTACCAGTCTGAGCCGCGACTAGTTTCTTAAGGTCGCCGATGCTGTCGTCTTCGTTGCATTTGACTCGAACTTTCTTCCCCAACCTGTCATTCAGAATCACCTCTATCATCTTCTTCGAGTCTCGATCTTTCTTTCTCCTTGTTCTGCACAGATAACAGACGCAGCGATGATTGAAAATGGCCTGTTGTATATCCAGTCTAAGCCGTTTTTTGCATGGCATGTCTAGAAGATTCGGAACTGTACACGTGGTGGAAGTTGTTAGGTCATAAAAAAAAAAAAAAAAAAAAAAGATGTTCTTTTCTGTTTTTTCCCTTTTTGAGGTTGTTTGTTGATTTGAATTGGACTTTTTTTGTATAGGGCGTTGCTTATGAGATTATTACCACAGCACGTGTCACCTGATTTTACCTGGATTGTCGTGATTCTATACATATTGAAATCTATGAGTCCAGTGAGGATCATGTCTACGTGATAATACTGGTACTTCTCATCTGTTAAGAGCTCTTTATACGTCTTTGATGCCTCATTGTATTGTTGCAAAGCCATCTAATGGTCACATGATAATGTGTCATGTAGCCAAATAGTGCATATTGTTTGCATGTGAGCCTATAGGATGTTGGCATTGCGCCTCAGAACACATATCGCACTATATATTTGTTCAGTAAAGCTGCTATATGGTCATAAATGCTATAGCAACGTAGATCAGCAGAACTTGGAAAAATGTTAAGTTATCGGTGTAAATTATCATTGATTGTCTATTCATTCTAGACGCATTACTTCTACTTAGTGCTTATATTTTTGTTGTATATTGTTTTCACATAGAGTATATATTAACATATTAATAATTGCAGAGTTGCTAAGATTATCTCAATATATATCTCCTTATAATTTTGTTCCACCAGTAATACTATAATTATGAATACATAATTCAATGTATGTCCAGTATGACACATTATCAGATGTCTTAGAAAAGAGAACTAGTTAGATATGAAGCACTTTTGCAGATATAATAACGTCTAGCTCATGACACACTTGCTGGGAATTCTCTCTACCTCTGGGAAATGACATAGACACCAAAATCGACTCAAATATCATACTCAAATATCAGAAGTTTTGTGACTAAGTACAACAATATTCTCATACTATCGCGAAATCTTTATAGGATAAATCATTCCAAGCATCTTCTATAATGGTGCTGGCAAGAGACACAACTATCTAAAATACATACGAGCGGGTGAAGACTATATGAAGCCTGTTTAGAGGCGAACAAGTTTTTCAATTTAAGTACATATACTCATACCTACGATGCTTCATTTTATATGTTTATTAGGTCATTTTTAAGCATTCATTTACTAACGCTGATCACTTTGATCCATGTAATGTTAATCGGACCAAGACACTATGTAGAATTAGAGAGATAGTAGAGAGGAGAGAACTGAAGAGTGGTACGGCCAGGACAGCCACGTAGGGAGCTATCGTATAATAAGGAGCCTGTGAGACATGGCTCTGGTCAGGTGATTGTCATCTATGTTCCTTGTTTTACTGAAGGCTGCTGCGGAGGGCCGCTAGAATTGAGTGTATCGCTTATCATCTGCTATCTATCATGTAGGGTACTCCCTGTCGCACCAGTTTTCTCTCTGTATACGCGAAATCTTTAATGTCAGGTCGAAGGGTAGTTCCATCCTGCTATCCAGTGTGCGTGAGAATCGCGTAGCTAGTTTTCTATAATCTGTTCGGTCGGATCTTGCCTCAGCGTCATCTCCGCATGGCATTCTTGGACTTCGAATCTTTCGGTCCTCCTCTGCGTCTCTGTCTCAGTTCATATTTTTCACCTTCCTATTCACCTTACTATCTTGATCTCGACTATCTTCTTTCATCCTTTGTTCCTGCTAAGAATAACAGGACGCAGGCGATGATGGTGACAACTAATAATTTGGCCTCTCTTTACCTCCAGTCTCAATGGTCTCGTGTTAGTTATGTGCAGAGTCAGGTCGTATGTTATCACGAGACAAGGTATTTCGATATCCTTTATTCTACAGTGATCCCCTATCTTATTGGGTGAAGCGTGTGGTGTATATTGTTCATAGAATGAGAAAAATTGAAAATATAAGAGATAGAATATGATATCTGGTTAACCTTTTTCTTCAATAACTTGTCCTTTAGAAGTTCGTCTTTCTGGATTCGAGGTACCAAGTTCCAAATTGTGTTATAGAGTTGTCACCTTAGGCCAAAATGTTAGAAGTTTATCCCTTACTGTCTCCTTCTTGCCTGCTGGGTTTTGAGAATAGAAGTACCAATCCTTAATTCATTACCTCATCTGATTCTCGCATTTACCATCAATATATGTAGTTTATTCATATCTCGGTTGCGCAATACAGTATATCGTTCGTGCAGAAAAAAAAAAAAAAAAAAAAAAACGAATTTCTCAAATTTGTCTAGAAGTTTCGTCTGGATTCCAGCCAGTTCAAATGTTTTTTATATTTTTCTTAAAAAAGTTATATTTTTCTCTTTTACTAGAAGTAGCCAATTCTATCACGATTTCAATTAATTTCAATATTTTTATTCGGTTTCAATAACGAGTCTCATTTTCTCGAATTTTGTTAATCTTAATTAATGTAAAATTATTAATTAATCGGCATTTGGAATTTTTTCTAAATATTATTCGGTTTCACTTTAATAGCAATAAATGGTCATTTTATCTTATTATATTTTAAATGCTCATCTAAGATTTTCAAACCATATTAATTATTTTTTCAATTTTATCTATATTTATTGGTTGTTATTTATTTTTATATTTACTTTTAAAAAGGTAATGTAAACATTCTATTATATATTTTTAGAATATCAATGAATTTCGGTCTTTTTTAATCTTTGCAAAAAAAGCAAATATTATTATTAAAGTGGAACCGACAAAATAATGTTTATCAAACACTCCAAAATAATAATCAAAATGATCTTTAATTTGTTTAGAAATAGAATAATTATGTTTTACTTACTCCCGATAGTTAAAATATTAAGAAAATATTAACACCTACTCAAACCTAAATGCATATCTATAGTCTCAACATATCAAAATTAATCTTATCAACATTATCAACTATTAATCTAATTTTTAAAATACATTACTCCCTCTGTCCCAAAATATAAGTCATTTTTGGGTGATTATTTTTCTTTAAATATAAATCGATTGGAGTATTTTAAGTAGTAATAAATGATATTTTTTCAATGTTCCCTTTATTTGTATTAGATGCATTAAATATTTTCACAAGTAACTATTGGTTTTGAGATAAAGGATAATTTATTTAAATTACCCTTGAATTTACTCTAATCTAAGAGAATTTATTGTCTTTTTAATTCTTATGCAAAAACTTTAAGCGACTTATATTTTGAGATAAAGAGTGCATGAATACTTTTAATTAAAATTCTATTTTGTAATTTTTTATATAAATAGTTTATTGTTAGACCTTTTTAAATATATATATATATATATATATATATTGTGTCCCATGTCTATCTACAATTTCCTCTTATTTCTTATGAAAAAAAATCTCAAAATAATTTTGGAATATAGAAGGTGTTTCCTTTTATGAGGGGAATTTTGGAATATAGAAATTGATTCCATTTCATTCTGGATTTTTTTTTTTAATAAAATTTTTTATTGATTCAAAAATATTAAAATTTATTCAGAATTTCTAAAATTTAAAAATTCCATAGTACATAAATAAAACTTCTCAAAATTAATAATTAGCCGTTTTATTTATTTAAATAAAGTGTACATTATCAAAATGATAATTTAATTATTAGGCAAAGGGAAAACCCATAAATGCATAAATATAATTTAAATCACAATTTTAAAAGTAATGAAATTAAAATTAATAATTCAATCTCCAAGAACAGAAAATAATGCAAGTTCAAAATATTCTCAGTCTAAAAAATAATAAATTCAAAATAAAAGACCACAAAGTCAATATACAATGTAGATCAAAACATATACTACAATACAGACCAAAAGGCAAAAAGCAAGTTATCATAACAAATAACTAATTACAACTGTTATTCGCCAAAACTCAATACTTTAATATTTTAAATATAGTTAAAAAGTTAAAAATAGTAGATCAGGTCAAGGTAGGAAAAAAAAAGGGACAACAGAAGCCAGAATGTAAATATGAATATAAATATGATGAGAGCGAAATGTTGAGTCAGTGACAGGGAAGAAACAAAACCTTGAATAATAAACAACAATAGGAGTAACAATAACAACTAATAACAGTAAAATCATAACACAACCTACCAGCCAAACCCCATTTTGAAACAAAAATACACTGTACATATGTCTGCTGCCTGAGCCCTTGCCAACCAAAAATGGGGTCAGTGGCTGAAGGATCCAATTTTTTGCCAGTTAGCAGAATGAGCTTACCATCACTCCAGCACAGCAACTTCTTGATCAACCCTCCAATAGTTTGCATCGTTGAACTCTTTAATCCCATTCCCATTATCATTAGAATTCTCCTTTTCTGGAACCTTTGGGATAATGTTCCTCTTTAGAGGGCCTGCTTCACCAACTATACCCTCCTTGAGAGCCTGTTCCATTGCCTTCTCAGTTCCTTCTATTTCCACGCCAACAAATTCGACATCCTCTTCAAACAATGAGGGTGCGGTTGCAGATTTATGGGTTGTATCACTGCTCGCTGACCCATCACTAGAATTGTTGGAGGATGATGAGCCATTTGGTAGTGGGGAATCACCACTTGAAGGGGAATTAACATCAGGTGTTGCTACCTCGGCTTGACTGGAAAGATTGACATCAGAGTCATCATGATCTACAAATGGATTCAAATTAGACCCGCCTACTTGCAAATCTGATGTTTCTCCCCATCCTACCCATTCAGGGAAAGGCCTGTCTCCAAACAAGTCTTCACTGTCCGGAGTATCAAATCTGAAAAATCCAATATCATCGGAAGCAGTCGCCTGCTCGCTTTGTGGAATAGGAACACCCCCAGGAAATCCATTGGCAAAGTTTGTGTTGGAAGTGGATGCAGAATTGACGGACTCTTTGCACTCTGTTAACTCGTCATCTTCTCCAACTACCACCTCATCATCACTGCTGCTGTTACCACCACCGTTAGCAGTTCCTTTCAAGTTTATTTCATCCATCATCTCCATAGGTGATGTACTCACAGGGGCATTACCAGCTCTGTCATCTTGGAATGCAAACCAATTGGAATTTGTGAATAAACTGCTGCATTAAGAAAAACATTAGGTGTTATTCACTCATCAAGAGATGGATCACTAATTTGGCATGCTAATACAGCGACCCTATGTGGACAGTGGGCCTGCTGCTTTGTTCAGGAGATTTCCCAAATGGCTTCATTGAACAGGGAAATTCTTATTACGGGTCTTTGTTCAGGTCAAAAAGCATCATGACATTCAATAGATGTATAACTTTCAGTTTGAACACCTTTATTTGAGATGCAGTTCCCCACCCAAATACAAAAGTCCACAGAGACACTAGACGATCCTTAGTTACTCTGAATTCAACTTTCTCTAGCATTATTCAATCCAAAATCCAAGTTGAAAGAAAATGCAATGAAATATCGATCATTAAATAGGAGTCAAATTACACAATTGCTTAGACTGACCTCCCTTGGTCATCACCAAGCCTCAAAGATGATATAACAACTTCAGCAGACTCATCATCAAAGTACACATCCTGCATATCAAAACCGCAAACACTATATTTAATATCCAACATCTAATCTGATATTGAAAGATATTTAAAAACTTTCTATTCTGATCTATCTACGTTTCTGTTTCACATCTTACCAATGCTAATATTTCTATATGGAAAAACATTGACACCCAACCTAAGATATGCACAGACACAAGACAGAGATAGGGCAAGGGCATGAGAATCTAACTGTTACCTCATCATCTCGATCAAGGCCGCCATTATCCTGCAACCAAGATAATAATAAGTAAAGACCCGTTCCTTTATGTTTTTTTTAGAATAAGTGATATGGTCTTGATCCACAAACCCAACAACACAGAAAATAATGAAAATATTAAAAAGTCGAGGCGCACCTCTTCATTATCCTCATTCCCATACATTTTGTATCTAAAAGCCTGGCTTAAGTTATTTGCTAGAGCTGCTACATCATAATCTCTATCATGAAGATCATCCTCATCACTATCTCTTGTCCTATCCTGCAATGCAGTGGGGCGACTGCAAAAAACAAGGAAAACAAATTCAAAATCTTCAGACAATTATAATATCATAATCAAACCCAAAAGGTAGAAACAAAACTTTCTAGCAAGTAGGACAAAGATCCTATATATGAAAGACAATTTAACCCGCACTGGCATTTCAGTCCGGATTCTTCAGACATGGCCAGCTAGGAAAAAAAAATCTCCGCCTTAAACTTCAAATACAAACATATCATCCTCCCACTCTCCAGCTGCAAAACTCCCCAGTTTTATTCTCATATCCTCTAACAGAGCCCGAAATTTTATTCCAATATTTTCCCACTCTTCTTCAAAACCTTGACCAGTTCGCAGCCATCCATCCAAACATCAATCAGGCAACAGCTAAAGGTGCCAAGTTCAAGATTTTTAATTAGTACCTGGGTTTCTTTCTTTGGCAGGACATTAAGTATATATGTGTCGTTATGAATTAATGAATTTTTAAATGTTGGAGCGAATCCATTGTCAATTGAAACCACCAAAACTGATTTGCAATCTGATAATTCCTCCACTTCACTCATTTTGAAGAATTCCAACTTTTAACAATATACTTACTGATGAAAGTTAAAATCACCATCCATTACCATATCAGTAGGCTAGATAGATGAAATCAGGTAGACGACTGTTAGCATAAGACCTACCAGAAAACTACTCAATTATTTTTGTTTCTATGTGCTCTACTCACACACAAATATTTGGAAACCAATTAAGAGTGGAAACAAAACCTGGGATCTCTTGGTTTCTAAGGTCACACCTGAGTCTTTTTATCCAGTCAAATACAAACCAACAAGATGCTAAAAATTGCTTGAGCGAGGGAAAAAGAAAGAGAGAGTTGGTAGTTACGTCCAATTGGAGGAGGGTTGATATTTCTTTCTATAATTGAAGATAGCTTTAAAATATTTTTTATTCATAGTGCAATTGGAAGATTAAAATCTTCAATCAATTTGCAGTATACTGTAGCACATAGGACCTTGCCATGGAAATAAAATAGATAAACAAAGCTTATCAACATCATAAATCTCAACTACAAATGCTTAAAATATTTTGCCTGAGAGCATATCAATATCTCAGCACACTTTTAGATTTTAAAATAGGGAGATAGCCTCACTGATCTATAAATCTCTATTGTTTAAATACCACTTATGACCACTAAAAAGGCAACCCAGTCAAGCTAGAGTTATCATTACGGTTATAATTGCTGTTTCATTAAATGCACAAATAAAACATTTCCACAATTCAGGCTAATGTGATGCATTGCATAGATGAAGAAAAAGCATACCCGCAAGCCCACCGATAGACATTTTCAACAGCATTACGGTCCTGCAAGGTGCTAGCTTGCCAGTCATTCCATTCACTGTTTTCCTACAGAATTACAAACAAAGATGTTTAAGCAAAGACATTAAACCAAATATTCTAATAAAATAATCACCATATCCAAAAATATGGTGCTAAGAGCAAGTGGCAATAATATGATGTAATACTGGTAGTATGTAATAGAAATTTTCTAAAAAGAAGCATATACCAAATGACGAGATTCTTCTTTATTATTTAAAAAAAAAAATAAAAAGCAAAACCAAGGAGGCCAGGTTCGCATCAAAGAAAATCATAAAATATTACAAAAACTCTTCTTGAGGAAAAGCTTCTATGATGGGATATTTAAGCAATCACAATATGAATCAAGAAATTCCCTATAATTTAAGTTCTGCAGACTTCTCAACGACACAATCTCCCTGGGAGACATTTAAATAGCGCTACCAACCTGTAGATATGTCTGAATTCGGCTATTGGTGTTTCTCAACTGAACAAGCTTATTAGAAATCCGCGTAATGTGACCAAGGTTTCCTGCTCGCGGAGCCTGTTTTCCAGCAGCAGGCAGAGTTGGCTGCACAAGGATGGAATACAATTATCTACTGCCTGAAACGCTATGCAGAAACTAAATGCCACATATTGATAAAAGAAAGAGTGAGAGAAAGGAACCGTAGAAGTGCACTAACTAAATTAAGATTTATAAAAAAAAAGAACATTTTGTTATGGCCCACACCATGCCCCACCCCCAAGGTCTCCCAGCTTACTATTTGCTCATTAGATCACAAACAAATATTAGTTCTTATCAGTTTTAGGGGCATAGATTTTGCACCATCTAAGAAAATTTCATTCAACAAAACATCAACGTCTATCTACCTGAGTAGGATCGCCTGAAATAGTGGGGTTTTTGTCTGTCCAGAGAATTTTTCCAATCAAATCACACTCCCGAAGCAGATGATCAACCATAGTGTCGCTCTTGGTCTCCAAACATGACAATATAATACTCTCCACATGATGATGCAATGCATTATTGTATGGGTACCTGTAAGTTAAAAGACCAGCACCATTATCCATGCCAACAAAAAGAGAGTAAGATTTCTTTGAGAAGAAACTAATGTTTCCTGGACACCAACTTCAATAATTTGCCCATATACTCAATTAAAAAAGGGGTGAAAAAACTTACTCAAAGAATAGATCAAGGACGCGTTTAATGGTTCCTGAGCTGACTAATTCCTTTTCAGTAGCTTCATTCCCCGTCCTTAATAGCACCGCAATGAACTCAACAATCTAAAATAAATATGGAAGCAGTTAATTCTCAAAAACAAATTCCATTTCAGTATAAACCAAATTTTTAAATTCAATATTTTATATTTCCAACAGCAGTACACAAACATATTAATATAACAACTCATTAGATAATATGTTGCCCTGGGACACATTCCATCAACATTTCCGTGGTAGAAAGGTAAAGAGATATGAGAGTGAGGCTAGCTCCCAAGCTCGTGAAAACAGCAATGAACTCCACTAATCTAACTCTATTGAGGTGACAGCAAAGAATTATCTCCTGCACCAACTTCTGCATCAAGTTAAAAGAAGAAGGCATGACAAACCTTTAGGCGATGCTTCCCAAGAGGAGGCTTCAGTTCTCCATATGTTGTAGGCAAAATTTTCTCATCAGACAACACATTCAATAGCATTAGCAAGTCACCTGAAAAAATAAGAACATAATAACAAAAACAATCACTTTTGTCAATTCCATATCTAACCTGTAATTGAACTAAAATTATAGATTCGATCTATATATATAGAAGATTAAAGAATCTGAAACAGGTAACTAGTTAAATGGGATGAAGAGCTATAGGGTTAAGACGAGCAACTCCCAAAATACACATGCACAAAGTCAAGAAAGAAAAAGTGAGAGACTGTGTGTCCGTGTGTAAAGCAGTGAAGGTCAAATGGGGAAGAAGCTTCTCCACATTTGAAAAATAATTTTGACACAACAAAGCAACTAAACTTACTTTTTCCTTATTTGGTCTAACAGAAACATAAATGCACTCACCTAGTTTAGGCAGCATCGCATCAACAGTCTCTGGATTGACAGGGATCGAAGACTCATAAATATGTTGACTTCGGAAAGAATGAAACAAGGGAGAAGAAATTGCAGATCGTTTTGGATCCAGTAAAGATATACACACAGAAAGTGAGTGCACAAGGCCAGATTTTGAATGTGAATCTTCCAATGCATGGCCAAATATCCTTGAAACAAAGCTGCACACAGATTTTATGACCAGCATGAATTAACACATATATGGAGAAAAGAAAGGAAAAGAGAACTAGAGAAATTTTATTATCAGTGTAGAGGAGCACAAAATCATACAAACCTTCGACTAGAGAGTTTAGTAGCCAAAGCTGAGGGAGCGTTTCGAGTTATTGCACATAATGTTTCTGCTACATTGGCATGAACTTCAGGAGGGCTCTGAAATATGCAAAAGAAAATGTCAAAAGACTGAATACATGCAAAGGCTGATCATGCATGCAGCAGATTGATTTTAAAATTCTATTATTGCTGACATTTCTATATTATTGCTTTATTTTGAGTTTTTATCTTTCCAATTCCTGTAGAAGTCCTTAACCTTTTTTCTCCTGGCTCCTACAGAACCCAAAATTAAAACATTTGTAAAATAAATGAAGACCCAAAAACTGAAAGGAAATAAAATTGAAATTGAGAAACTGAACTCAAACAGGAGCATATTAGAATTGTTGTCATTCAAATATCCTACACAGGCAATGTGACTGTGCCTATGTATGACCAAAATCAGGACCAGCACTACACATGAAAATAACTATCTGAGCAATTGGTCCATACTTCCTAATTTTGATGAATTGAAATTGAAGTTTCTGAATTGATCGTATTAAGTCCATTGTGTGAGCAAAATTTCACTTACAGAAGGACTCAATTTGTCCACAATCATTTCAAGTAAATTGCTATCAGCCAACCACTGCATCACGTCAATAAAATTGGGATACACATGATCATCTGCCCCTACCAGCCGAACCAGAACCTGCATGAAGCAATTAATATAAAAGATCAACAGAACAAACAAGTGAGAACTTACTAAATGGAAACCACTGCGACATTCAAATATGTAAATTACCTCCATGATGGATGTTATTCCAATTAAATCAACCAATTGACGGAAAACATCCTGATGAGCCTGTTAAATTCAAATAGTTAATAAACAAAATAATTCATGACGAGATAGTTTAAGCAAAACATAAACCATAATAGTATGCATAATTGTAGCACACAACACGTATCTAAAACTAGATAGACCTTGTTGCGGATGTCAGAAAACTATAAAACATATATTATTGGTAAAAGAACAAGTGTTCAGGGAAAAAATTTACTCACTTGAACATAGTTCATAAGTGGGACAGTCTTGCGTACCATAAGGCAAACAACAACCTAAATTCAACAGCAAATAGCATGAAAAAAAAAAGTGGTTGAACAAAGAAAAAACGTACAAGAAGATAACTTATCACAAAGCACCAGATAAACTGGAGATAAAGCAGTGAACAGCATACCTTGCTGAAATACCCAGCCAGCAAGGCACTGTGAGGTCGGTTTGGTTCCAAGAAAGAGAAGAGTAAGTTCATAAGCTGCAACAGCAGAAAAAGAAACAAAGTTTAGAAGAGATGAAGTTCACTACCACATTAACTTCCAGAATTATATCACAGAGGAAGGGAATACCGAAACCTACCTCCTCTTCCTCCACTAAAGTCTTAAGAATAACATCAATTTCACATGTAAATATCTCACAGGCGATGAAGGGAAACCTTAAAAATAATAAAGAAAGTAAGTTATCAGAGGCAAATTACAATGCGCAAATCAAAACAAATCTTATTCTTTTATAAGTCAAATTGGCACACTTGAAGGCTCGTTTGCTTTCAGCATCCTCAGGAGCTTCTTCAATAATGTAACGCAATAACTGTTCTACCTGGGCTCTATCCCGTAGACTGCAAAAAATATATATATATGATGATCATCCACCACAATCAACTAAAAGGTACACAGAAAAAGAAGAGGCACTATTCATAAAGGAGTACGAATGGAGTTCAGGTGAAACAGGGGAAAAAATTACAAATTGATGAGACGACTGTTTAAAGCTTTGCATTCTTGGATTATTTCTTCCTCGTCCAAAAGCTCTTCTAATGTGAAATTTTCCTTGTCTAATACTGACTCCACCTGCAAAAGCAATAACAGATCAGAATAAATAAACCTTAAAGCAAGCAACCAGTGGCAAGTATTATTGCATTTTACTGGTTTTAAAAATCTAAAAAGGTTTACTTCTGAGAATAAAATCACTCAAATTTGCAATTCAATGTCATTAATAAACTTGTAACCCAGTTCAATAGACCATGGAATTAGCATAATTGAGAAAGTAGAAGCCAACTCATTTGCAGTGCTGCTTCCAATTCAAAATTCAAACCTGAATAGCAATATAAGATTCAAACTATATTCCATAACATGTCCTCCATTTCAGAAACACGAAGAGCGAAGGTAAAAAAAAACAGCATTCATGTCAGTAAAAAGTATCTTCAATTGCACGAGCAGAGGGAACCCTTTCAGTAACAATTGAACAGTGAACATCAAAATTTTAAAAATACAAGTATGAAACAGCCATAAATTCCCCGCAATTCTCCAGCTACTAGAAGTACATTCATTAATAAAAAAAAGCAAACTGAGGAAGAGAAACAAATCACAGTAACCAAAAGCACTTCATCCTAAGCCGATGACTTCTAAGTAAAACATAGCAAGCTCAAAATAGCAATCAAACAATAAAAAGAAGTTAATAGTTGAACGTAGAATTGAAATATTCACAAGCTCAAAAAAATCCAATAACAGGAAAAAAAACCAATAACAAACAAGAGAGGCAAAACAAAACAGCACATAGTCCAGCACAAACATTCAAAATCAAGAAATGAAAGTAAAAAAAGGAGGAGGAAAATTAGAGCCATGAATTCTCACTCACAGGAGAAGAGGCAGAAAGAGAAGTAAGCTTCCAAAACATCTTAAGATAGGAAGCAGAGATTAAGCAAAACTAGAAGCAGAAGCTGTTTAGATCTGTAAACCCTAAAGGGCTGAGCAGAAATCTAGGTCTTGTTGAAAAATATAAATACAGATAGATAGATTGAGCTCGAGATTCGAGAAATAGCTGGCGAGAGAGTTTAAGTTTGAAACCCTAAATTGAAAGGATAGAGTAGAGAGATCGAAAAGGAGAGAGACCGTGAAGATCGAGAGTGGAGAAGAAGCAAAAAGGTCAAAAACAATAAAAATCACAGAGAGCAGCTGCGAACAACAAAAGGTGAAAGAGTTGGAGAGGCGGAAAAGTACAAAAGATGTACTCCGAAATTCACAATACCAAATTCTAATCATGATGTATGTATGTATGTATGTATGTATGTATGTATGTGTAATCGTGTATGTCAATGTTGTGCGTGCATGGAATGGAATTTGACAATAAAATTTTGCCAAATGCATATTTTCGACCTGTACTTTTTCAAAAAAATTTTATGGCTCATTATACTTTATGGGATCCTATAAGATATCTTCATTTATTTTTTTCATATTTAATAGGTATCTCGCTGAAAGTGGTGCATGAGTTTCCACGCGAGTGTGAAGGGAGTGAAAACTTGTTTAATTGCCATGTTGTTACCTTTTTTCATTTCTCCTCGATAACCGACTGTAATGCTGAAGGAGGTGATGGAACAAAAGGATTTCAGAAGTCCCAGCTTGATGACTGAGGTGGTGGAAGCAGCGGCGATGGCGGAAGAGGAGGGGGTAGTGGAGAGAAGATGTTATCTATCCATGTGTCGGCGTAGGACTCATCGGTGGAGGAGGAGGTGAAGGCGTGCAAGGTAAAAGTTGTGGTGATGGTAAAACAGGTGTATCTCTTTCTTGCTTTGTACCTTGAAACCATTTCTTCTCTTTCTAATCTTGAATAACAATAATCTATTTTTCTTATTTTCTTGATTTTCTGGTTTACCTTTCTTTTTCTAGTAGCTCGAGTTATGCTCTTCTTTGATTTTGTGTTCTAAAGGTAATTAAATGAAATTAAAATTCTTTTAGAAAGCAAAAGAATGTTTGTTTTTTTCTTTCTCCCAATTTGATGGTTTTGGAAGCAGAAGAGGAAGACGGAAGAGGAGGAAGGAGGAGATGACAGCGGTGGTGGTGGTGGAGGAGGAGTAGGTTTAGTCACTTAGTGAGTAGATTGATAGAGAAAGAAAGAGGGAGGGACAATGCCCATAAGAATATTTTTGGCCAAAATGCATAGTTTGGACCATCTAATTTGATGTGGCGTATGATGTGTTTCTTCTCTCTTTGACATGTTATTACATTTTTATCAAGTAAGAGAATTTGAGTTGCACGCACTTCATTTGCTAGGCATAAGTACTTATTAAATACGAAAAAAATAAATAGAGGTACCTTATAGGACTCCCGCAAAGTATAAGGACCCACAAGGTTTTTTTGAAAAAGTATAGGGTTAAAAATATGCATTTGGCCAATAAAATGTTGATTTTTAATTTTGGATTTTTTTAAATGAAGTTTGTTGGGTATAAATAAGATCTAAATAATTTATAAATAAAATTTATCTATTTTTTAATATAATATATTACTATTTCATTAATTATTTCAAATTAACATGAATAATATTGAAAGGATTGAACCTCTCCTTAGAGATTACACATAGAACAGATAACCAAAACAGTACAATATTGTTTGTTAATCTAATAAGAAATTTTAATGAAAAATCCAAAAATGAACATGAGAGGCAAACGGTTTAAACATTTTGTACATTTTCTAATTATTCATGAACTAGTTACTTATGGGCGTAATGCATCAATTTATCCTTTAAATTTACGCGATTTGCCTTATGACACCCTTAAATGACGGAAAATTTATCATGGCCATACACTTTCATGGTTCAATAATAATTGTGTTCCTCACTTAAATGAAATAATTTTGCAAAAGTTCAATCATGACCCTATATTTTTATATTTTATTTTTGAGAGGAACATAGTTATTATTGAAATGTGATCGTGTATAGTCGTGATGGGTCTCCACAAGCTAAATTTGAGGATACCACAAGATAAATCGCGTAAATTTCAGAGGCAAATTTATGCATTTAGTCGTTACTTATGATAAACATAAAGAATTTGAATCATTAAATGTAATGGAATGACGTGTTACTCTAAAATATGAAGATCACCATGTATTTAACAAATTTTCCATAAATCACACACTGATCCAAAGAAAAAATAAACCAAACATATTATATAAAATGGAGAGATCACAATATAAAATGAAGACAAACATCTAAGAATCAAACACTAAAAATAATAGAATAATAAAATTATGAACTAAATCAATATGTATCAAATAGTCATAAATCTAGGGCTCCCTTTGTTTCTATGAAATAACTTGTAAAAAAATATTTTTCACAAATTTCTGTTGTTTGGGGCGCTTGGAAAAATAACTCAACGGAAAATATTTTCCTGGCGAAAGGAAAATTAAGTCATTTTTTAAAGAAAACTTACTTTCTATTTTCGAGAGAGTAAAACATTTTTCGAATATTGACAAATCTTATAAATTCATATTTTTTTAATTTATTAATTATCATAGTCATTACCATCAGTCACTATTTACCACCGATCACCACCACCGGCCATCGACTGCTTTCATAATTTATATATTTTTTGTATTTTTTTTTATATTTAACAATAAAATTTTTTCTATTTTTCAAAGAGATTTAAAACATTTTTTCAGATATTGAAAATTCTTATAAAATATTTCCATATTTTTTTCATGAATTTATTAATATCATAGAGTCAATATTACCAATCAAACACTATTTACCACCGATCAGCAACCACCTGGCCATCGACTCGCTGTTCATAATTTATATATATTTTTTGTAATTTTTTTTTATATGATTTAACAAAATAAAATTTTTGAAAATTAAATATAAAGGTTTCTATTATTCACTCTAAGTATTTTTAATGATTTTAATGAGAATAAAAACTTTAAGTATTTTTTATCTAATTTTCAATATTACAATCAGAACAACGGAAATATATGCATTTGATTATTATTATTAATATTTTTTATGATTTTATGAGATAAAAACTTTAATATTTTTTACTAATTTTCAATATTACAATCAAACAACGGAAAATAAATCATTTGAAAAATATTATTTAAGAAAAATATTTTTCATAGTAAGTTATTTTACGGAAACAAATATAGCCCAGAATTTATTTTAAAAAATATAAAAAAATTGCAAAAAGAAGAGAAAAATGAATGAGAAAAAAAATTTAATGGAAAAAAAAGAAGAAGAAGAAGAAGAAAAAAAAGAGAGCAGTTAGGGTTAAATAACTAATAAACAACAAATGCATAATTCATCGTATACTGTTGGTGAAAAAATTTGTGACATCTTTAATTTTTAATTTAATTCATTAAACACATCAATTTATAAAATTGTACATATTAAATACTTCAATTTACAAAATTTTTCTATTAAATGCTTCAAGTTGTAAAATTAAATTGGTTAAATACTAGTTCAATAATCGAAAATGTGAAATTATTATTATTATAAGCTTGAGAATGGTGTATCTGCACTGAGCAAAGGCAGCAGAATTGAACCATAGATGCTAAAATAAATAGTATAAAATTATTATATATAAAAAATCATATAATTTTGTTTTATGATAATTTTTTAGTTTAATATGTTTTGGTGGTCTACTTTTTTGAAATATTTTATTTATATAAAACTAATTATACCAATTAATTATTCAAATTTAAATTAAATGAATTGGTTTCAACTCTTAATTAAGTGTTTAAGTAAGGGGTAAGTTCAAGACCTATAACTAATATCATTCAGTATTTCAGCCGTTATTACTAAATATAATAATTTTAAATTTGAAACAATGAATGAAATAATTTAATAAAAAATTAAATAATATTATAATTTTAAATGTCCATTAAATTTTCTAGAATCATCAAGAGTTTCAGTTTAAAATTAAATACATTATCCTTATAAAATTTACTCCTTAGGAGTCTAAGTTGTATTTATATGTAAAGAGTTTATTTAATCTGATTGGAATTGAAGCTTAATAATTTAAAATTTTAATTTTATTATCTACATTATTAGAATAGATCACAAATCATCAATAATTTTATTACGAAAAATTATTATTTATTTAAAATGATTTTCTATCTATATATTAATTTTTAATTTTTTTTACTCAATCCTTTTGTTTTATGATTGGATTAATTAAAATATTTTATTTTTTTCATAAGTATTTGATAAGGAAAAGTGAAAAGTCTATGTAGATAATAAAATATTTTTTTCAAGTCACCATCTTTAATTTTCTAAATTTTGAAAAGTCTATGTAGACTATAAAACATATATACTACATAACTTATAAATTATGAATAAGTTTAAAACTAAAAGTATAATATACAGTAAAAAATTAACTCACATAATGCGCAGTTTTTTACCTAATCAATATATATATATATATAACCAATATTTTTTTCCTAAGAAGTTGACGTGTGGTATATATCATATAAGATTCTTAAATTTTGACAGTGCCACATAGAATTTAATTATTAGTTATAGTGTTATATAAATATTGATATTAATTATGGTAGGTTATATTATTATACATATAAGATTCGTTAAATTTTGACAGTGCCTGACAGTAGAATTTAATTGGTTATAAGTGTTTTATAATAAATATTTAGAATTGAAGTTATTTATTCAAATGTTATCATAAATTAATTATTATTAGTAATATAGAATATATGATTAGTGAATAGTTGTAACTTATCTTTCCTCATTAAATTACATGGCTATTGAAATTTTTCATTCAATTATCATATTAAATACTCGTTATTAAATTATGACTTTAAAGTTTATTATATAACACATTTATATCATCTATTTGTGAAAGTAAAAAATCATAAAATAAGTTTCAGCGGTTTGAATATCATATTAATATATAATTGTTAAATAATTTTTAAATTAATATTGATTATATATATGATATTGAATATCAGTAATTATTGATTTATATATCAATATTTTATTGATTATAATGGAAATTGTTATATTAGTGAAAAAATTGAAGATAAAAAATTAACCGGTGAAAATATTTATTTAATAAATAAAAACAATGAAATATTCCAAAAAGTTTGCAAAATATTACATTTGTCCTAAGAATTTGTAAATATACAGTGTTCTTCCTATTAGTATATTAATGAAAATAGTGCACATTATTCTCTATGAACTATAAAATAAACAAAGAGAATATCCTTGAGGTTTAGTGAGATCAAACATATTTTTTTTT